ACACACACCTCCACCCCTTCGCGTCCACGGGCTTATGGTGCAGATTAATGAGATTAATAATTAACATTATGGGAGGGCGATAATCTTCTCCTCCTAACTGCATGAGAGTTTTATTGTGTCATTACTGTCCCTCATCCTGAATGGGTTTTTTTTTTGTCTTGTTTGCCTTGGGACACATGTTGAAGGCGGCAAAGATGAGAAGTAAAAGTGCAGCAGATGTGTGGTGAGGGGGGCATCCATCCCTGCAGACTCATCACACCTCTGCAGACAGAGGCCCAGCAAACAGAGACAAATAAAGTTATTGAAGATCAGGTAGCAGGAGGCACGAACAACACTGATGACGTTTCGCCCCATTTTCTGGAGGTGATGCTTCAGCCATAGAACAACACTAACAGACTAAAAGTATTGCTCTAGTGACACAAGATTCAGCAAGGAAACAGGAACTGTGGTGAACACTGAGGTTTTTCACTCAAACTCTGCACTCTGTAAACAACCTTAGTTTTCATCGGGGGCGGGGGGCGGAATCAAACGGGGGCAAAATTCAAAACTTGGTGCCAGTCCTTGCTAATATTTATTGACAGAAATTTTATAACAAATAATTATTGTATAAATTTTTTCCAAATTGTTTAGAACCTAACGGATAAAGAAAGACAAAACCTAAATTTAGAAAGACACATCGTTATTAGTCATTTCTTATAAACTTTATCATTTATTATATCTTAGAGATACGTTTTATCAAAATACATCAAATCAGGTAAAACTAAACTCTCTAAATATCCATTTGTTTGACTTTAACTATCCTGTAGTTTTTTCTTATTTTAAAGTCTGAAGTTACTGAAAAATTAAAATGAAATATTCTTGGTTTGAAAGTCGGCCAGCTGCCATGAGAAGAAAAAGACAAACCATAAAACTATTGTACAAATAAAGTATTACTTTTGGGGCCGGATAAAATGCTAATGAGGGCCAGATTTGTCCCGTGGGTCTTCAGTTTGACACGTGTGATCTAATGTAAATGTTATTTTTTACTGTTGTGCATATGAAACTCAGATCTACACGTATCTGAAACACAATCTATTTTTCTCCTATCAGTATTTGTCTTTTAGAACTGAAATCATGAATGATTTTAAACAAAGTCTTTCTCTTTGCCATACATGCACATGTTGATCAGCGGTTGTTTAAGATGTGATTTAGAAATAAACTTGACTGAAAACATTTGCATTAATAAATCATGTTAGTCATTAAAGACCAAAGAACAATCACATCACGTTTGCTTGCTGATGTTACAGATCTTAAAAATGAATGATGTAACAGATGCTGTAGGAAGGGTTTTGATACAGTGGTGGTAAAAGTCTTAAACGCGTTCAAGCTTCTTGTTTTGCTCTGATTAAAACAGAAGATCGGAGGAACACGCTGCTTATTGAAAATCCTAAAAACAGCTCATTTGCTCAAGTTGCACCAAACATTTTGCCTTCTGCGCTCGCATCTGTGCCCAAACAAAGCGGCGACACTTTGCAACCACGACACGGTGAAAACCTTGAAAGCGCCAAGTCTTTAAGTGCTGGCTTAATAACTTATGAAGCGCTCACAGCCACATCAGGCGCGTGAACAACACAGCCACCCACRCTCTGTTGCATCTCTTCTTACTGTTAGGAAGCAGACAAATAAAACATAAAAAAATCCTCAGTCTGGAGATGAAATGATGCGCCTGTTGCTGTGGAAATCAAAAGCGGCACACTCCCGAGGAAGCCGCGCCTAAGAGAGCTTGAAAAACAGACATCTGTGAAACAAATTTGGGATTCTTAAAGAAAACTTTTCTCGTGAAAATTTTATTCCACTTAAAAGAGACACAAACATGGAAACGCATTTCTACACTTCTAATAGAACAATATCAACTAACAAACATGTCACAACATGTCTCTGCTAGTGAGGAAAACTTGGCTACAACAGCAACAGAAAAAAATGCAGTTTGAGTATAGAAAGACACAATTGCATAAAAACGCAATTATCTTATGAGTGGCAATAAAATATTCTGTAACGATTTCAATGAGAGGGCGAACATTTGCGGTTATAAAGTCACTCTGCCTCAGATTGAATAATCCTGAAGTTCAGAAGCAGCAGCTCCTGCCTGTTTTCACCAAAACGTTACTGTAAATCAAGAACAACAATGTCAGATGTCTCATCAGAATATGATTCTGACAGATGGGCTTTCATAACAACAGCCACAGAAAAAATGTCCCATTAGATGATGATCTGTGATAGTTGGTGTGACTGTAATTAAAACACACCTGGCCTCTGATTGGCTGCACATCATGACAGTTTGTTTACATTTTTAAATCAGGAGGTTCTTCTAAAAACGGATTTTTTGATAAACAGAAATTACAGGCTTCATAAGGGAAGTGAAAATGCGCAGAAATATGGCCTGTTGGTCATGGGATGAGCAGCGTTAGATCCACCAACACGATTAATCAATAACCAACAACAGCACAGCTGAGAAACTCTTCAGTATACCAGAGTCATGTCCTTCCTACTCCTCTCCATCTCTCAGGGGCTCCTTCTTCTCAGCCCCCAGTTCAGCTGCTTCTCTACCTTCATCTTCCTCCTTAGGAACGTCATCTTCTTTCGTATCTTCTTTCTCCTCCACCTCCGCCTGCTCCTCCTGATCCATGTCCAGTTCTTCAAAGGATGAGCCGCTGCCCACAGAGTCATTGGAGCCTCTGTCGCTGTGGTCCCTGTCCTTAATGTCGTCGTTTGTGTCCACGACGTCCCTCAGGGGCAGGGAGGAGGCCAGGGAGGCGGCTGTGGACGCTGCCAGCGATGTCTCTCTGCTGTCCCAGGGGGCGCCGCCGCTCACTGAGCTGACGTCGCTGTGGGAATCTGCACCTGAGGCGAAGCAAAGGTTCAGACAGGTAAAAAATGGGTTGTGAGAGAAACGGCTGCTCAGAACTGAATCCAGTTCCATTTAAGAGAAATTAATAGTTTTCCTAACTTGTCTAGTTGATCTGCAATAGTTTAAACTTTGATCTGCGGGATCAAACAGAAAAACAGGATTTTATTTAAAAAAAAATTTCTTCACTTTGCCAACAGCAACCATGATGTTACAAATGCGCACATGTCAAACTCAAGGCCTGCGGACCAGATGTGGCCTGCGGGTTACTCAAGTCCGGCCCATCAGTGATAATGCTTGTTCTGCCCCTGAGCTGTTGGCTTTGAGTAACTGTGGCTCCCTCAACAATTTTGTACAATAGCTCTGTATTAATGTCTCAAAAAAGGCTGCTTTAAAGCCAAAATTCACCGTGCAAGATCTAAATTTAGCTACATATTTGACAGCTACTTTGCTATGATCCAGTTGAACCAGGAAGTGTGAATTTCCTTATTTTCAATTAAGTCCTAAATTTAAACTAGAACACTCCTTTAGTGGGAATTCCCTGTCGGAAAGGGTGAGAGATCAGAATTCAAGATGGCAGCTATTTACCACAACTCAACAGTGAGTAAAACTCGCTTACTGTTTACTTTTTATAGTATTTCTTGTATTATTTCAACACATTCTCACTCCCGAGTCGTCACATATTGACGTTTTTCAAAGGTCCCTTTGCGTCCAATTTTGACGCATCAGGTACCCCCCTCGCGTCAGTCCTTGCCGCCCGCGGCTTTTCCGGGTTGCGCCACCAGGGGTCTTTGGGTCGGGGGTCTGAGGTTAACATTAGGGATCAGGATAAATGGTTAAGTTTAGGGACTGGGGTCAGGGATAGGATGTCTACAGTGAACATTAGGTAATTTTAGGCTTTGCAACACGTAGTTGCCATGAATTTCCTACATTTTCTAAAAATGGTTAATTTTACGTATCAGGGTTAATGGTTAATTTTAGGTACTAGGGTCTGGGACAGGATGTCTAAAGTGAATACACGTAATTTCACGCTTTGGGACGGTAGTATTTGTGCATTTTCTACACTTTGAAAAATTACGACAACAGATTCCGCCCCATCCCGTCAAAATATGACGCAAGGGGGGTACCTGATGCGTCAAAATTGGACGCAAAGGGACCTTTGAAAAACGTCAATATGTGACGACTCGGGAGTGAGAATGGGTTGATTATTTATTTCACATTTAGTCAGTTGTACACATTTTACTTTTCTGTGTTAATCAGAGGATGTGTTAAAACACTGTTTCTATGCAGGAAATACCACATAGAGCTCAATTATTGTTTGCTAGCGGTGCTCAGCCATAGCAGTGAGATGGGGACCGAGACATTTCATGTTTTTAGTTGAAGTTAATCACAAAATGTCAAAGTTAATTACAACTGGCTTTTTGAGGGCCACTGTAATGCTCATGTGGACCTTCTGTGAAAATGAGTTTGACACTCCTGGTGTAGCGCTTGAAGTTAAGATGATTATGATCAAACCAAGTTTTAGCTCAGTATCGGTAAGTGAGTTAGTTCTTTTTTGTGGATAATGTTGAGTAGCTGTGGCAGCCATCTTGATTTATGGTGACTTCAAAGTTTCCATTTGTAGACATACWTCCAATGGTTACTTTCAGAAAGTTTCTGACCAGTGGTTTATTGCATATTCTGCTAACAGAACAGACAAAGGAACACATATAATATACACAAACACACACAGAAGCAAAAACAATATTGTCTTGCCCTTCGGTGGCGGGTGATAAAGAAGGAAGATCGTTCATCAGCATGAATCTAATAACACTGTATTTGATTCCGGGCTTCGCTTTGCAAAAAAGAAAAACACTGTTGCTTGTTTCGTCTGCAGCACATTGCTTATCATAGAAAGCAGTCTTTTGCCTAATTGCCAGAGATTTTCTCACCAACATGATGAGCTTGCTAATGCTTTCTGTTTGAGCTCGAACCAAATTGGCCTTTGATCTGTGTTGGACTGTGACTCAGTCATCGTTCATCTCTGAATACAAGTGTTTTTTTTTTATTTCCGTTAGTTTTACGTGGAATGAGCACAGCTAGACAATTATTAAAAACAAAGCAGACTAAATAAAGACTTGATTTGATTGTGTCCACCAAATCAAGGTCTGCAGCRATGTGAACAGAATGGAGAAATGCGAGGCCTTCCTAAAAATTGCAAATGAAAACAGAGTAGGTGTCAGATCTGGGAAATATACGAAGCACATCATACCTTCCACCTACAYGAGAAAATAACACAATGTTCACACCAAAATTGGTCTCCTTGAGGGGGGAGATGGAGGAAAAGAGTGTGAAGAAAACTCACAAAAAGACACATTCATGAATGACAATCACATCCATTAATGCCTGGTTGAGCCAAGATAAAAACTGAAGACACATTTTAATATTTTATCTTTGCTGTGGTAGTTATTGTAGGGCATTAAAGCTTTTCGCCATGCCTCTTTTGTGTCTTATAAGTGAAAATAAAAATAGAATAGCTTTACTATTCTACTGGACACTGGAAGATGTGTTTGTTCTTCTGTGGTCACAATCCAAAATAGCACCCTGTGTGGGTTTGTACTGAATCTGTCATCAGATCAAAATATAATAAACAGGAAGTCACCATGATGCTCCCTGGGGTCAGTCATTTCTTCTCTGTTATATGAATCCCTACAATGTAATTATCACTTTCAGCAAATCGGATTCTGTTTATGGAAAAATAAGTTATGAGAGGTTCATATGGATTTTTATTTAGAKTATTTTTTTGTGTGGTGTTGATTGGGAAACAAGTCCAAACAAAACCAGTGAGAGAGGTCTTTTGTGGAAAAAGAACTGTAAATGGGATTTAATAAGGTGGTTTCAAATGAATATAAATGGATGATTCATGTGTTGTTTGCATGTTGGAGGGAAATATTCTAGAGAGACTCATTTTACAATATGAGGATGTTTAAAATGTGAGGAATTTTATGGGTAATCATGGATCTTCTTAGGGTAAATGGGTGGATAGCCCTCCAAGGAAGAGCCTCAACACACTCGACAACTTTCACGCTTTCATGGTTGCAAGCAAGTCCTGGAATTAGTATTGTGGTTGAAGCCTTTTGGATAACATTTGCCTAATGTTGTTACTAAATTGGGCCCATTGGGATTATTAGCTGAAAATCAAGGTCTTGTTCTTCAAACTGTCTGTAGAAGAGGAGAGGATTTTTTAAAGGAGGTAATTAGACACAGAAAGGGTTGAGACACAGTGAGGGTTTGGAGAAGCAGAGTCTGGTTGGATGGAAAGACGAGGCTSGTATAAAATGCGTAACAAAAGCTGGGAAGTGAGAAGACAGATGGATTGGCTTTTTTATGAATGAGGACCTGGGAGGAGGAGCATTTAGGGATACTTATTATAGGATTTTAGAGTAAAACACAGATTTGCTGGACTTAGCCAGTGTGTCTGCCTTGCATAATAACATGTACTAAATAACTTGTGTATCATCATAGATATAAATATTTTACAAAGAAAGGAGGCATTAATATGGACCGTTGTGAATGGATAATACACTTTATGTCACCACAAAATTGTAGCCAATGGGAACCTTAGAAGAAATTCATATTTCCAACTTTGCTTGCTCTACAGTGACGTTTGATTGGTAAAAAGTGATGTCATCTGTTACTGTCTGTAATGCTCTGCRAAATCTTGAGCTGCCCAGATGTTTGTGTTCACACAGACTGTGTCAACAGCATCTTGGGCAGCAATTAAACTCCCATTCAAAAGGTGTCAACAACAAACAACAGACAAGACTGTTGGTCCAATCCACAGACTGTATAAACTGATGGACCTCTGACACCTGGAAGTCAAAACAAACATGGCAGCTTTCGTAAACTAGGTCGTGCTGAACTTGATTCCCAATGACAAAAATAAGGCAGGGRCACATTCACAGCATGTTTTTTTGGTCAAACCACAAGCAGTGGAAGGAAAACGACTTGTTTTGATGAAATACTGTGAGAAGAAATTCCTTAAAAAATTGGACAACGTATCATGCAGCGACAATAAAGACACAAAAATTGCTTCAAATTCCTGCTGAGAAATCTAAGCTCTTTCCATCTTTTCTTGTGACTCAACAGTTGACAAACCAGAGCATCATTTCCCCCGACAAGACTACAGTTTAAATTATAGACTCCGGAGTTGAATGAGGTGCAGCTGACCCCAAAAATACCATGTGATGTTTGTACTTCAAAGCTGAGAGATGTTCAGCAGTGACTAACTTCAACCAGTTTTTTTCAAACGCTATATAACAAGCAATGAAAATTCAGTGCAACAATATTTCTGTTTACACAAGGTCCACCCACATCCACTGATTTCTACATCTTACATTATTTATGTTATGTAGTATGTTGATTACTGATTACAACATGATGATGTTTTGATTGAACGATTCTTGTCTGACCACCTTTTTCTGCCTTCTCTGTGGGGGACTTCATGAATGGCGTGCTTGTCATAAGTGCTGTTCTATTTTGTACTATGGTGGGGTCTTTGCTACTGCCATCAGATGCTAGAACAGAGCAATGCATTTAAATATGGACCAGTGCAAGTTGCTACAGTTGAGTAGGAAAGTGAAATTGAAATATGGATCTGAAAGCTCAGAATTTTTTTTTAATTATGTATATTTATTCTCTACATTTATGTTATTTTAAATAATCCTAAATAGCCTTTTTAATAATAAAGTACAACCATTACATGAGTGAAAAGTTACAGACATTGCTGATTCAATAACATGGAGTTATTTGTTCATGATGACCAAAAAATAATAACTTAGTACCATTTCAGAGTGTGCTTTTAAACAACAAGCTCTTGTCAAAGATTCACCTGTGGCAGACACCAACATGGTTAAATCACATAAACATATTCAAACCTTTTCCCCCCCCAACTAGCCACAATTTTTATTGCTAATCTTCATCAAAACTGCCACAAACAGTTTCTAGACTGCAGGAA